CTGTGAGTTAAAAGTTATAATCGGGTGTAAAACTTGTTCAACAGCACTGGAGGTCTGAGGGTGGAGTTCTCTTTTTTGAGTTTGTGGCTAGATCGAGATTCTAGACATGAACCTTTACAGAATTGACAGAAAACATGTTCTGAGACTACTTCTTCTTCTCGACCTTGTTTCTCACTTTTATAACAATCTACTCTCAATTTTGAACTCTTCTCTTCATGTATGTGTCTTTATCCTGGAAAATACCATTTCCATTTGTTTTACTGAAATACACAAAGGAATACAAAGGGGTACAGAAAGAATACCCGAGAATCAAACTTTTAGCTTACTTCTGTATTCTTTGATATACTCAAGTTTTAGTATTTACTTTACAGTTATGAGTAGCACTAAAAATAACTGGAGGTTTGATCAGGAAACGTATTGTTACATCTCCGATCGTTAGTTGATTTTCCGTAACTTCGTTTCCACGAAACTTTAGCGACACAAGTCCTTTCTTAATAAAACTGGTTTATTCTTTCTGAATATAACTTTACTGATACACTTATTTTCAACAGTCGCTCTATAACAAACGCTAAAACAAGGAACGTTAACTTCAACAATACTCTCTGACTGCAGTTCAATTACTCACTACCTACACATATTCTCACGTCACGCCGTGACCATCTTATATATATACCAGACCACCTCCAATCTAGCAAATGCTAGAGCACTCCCGAAGGAACAGGATAGTTCTAGTCACGTGACCTCGCTGACGCAACACTGCCCCCTCCTTAGTATTGTTCGTCCCGAACAATAACCACACACAATAAACCAATAACAATAACTTAATTAAATGTACAGAATTACAATCACAAAATTACAATTCAATGAAGTCTCTTAATTTTACGGGTTGTATCTTCTTCCGTACTGGTCTCCGTCTCGTTGGCTTCTACTTCATATGGGGTTCATCTGCTTCATCAGGAAATGTTCTATCGTCGATAATAGTCACATCAGTGGTAGTAACTTCATCAAGAGCTTCACCATTTCCTTTCTCAAAACTGAGTAGAGTTTCTTCTTTGACGGTGGCTTCTTCAGGTGGCACGTCTTCAGCAGCGTCATTTGTTCTGTTTTCCACTTCGTCCCAACTGAAATGTCCTGGACCGTGATAACGCCAAAGCCTGTTGGCATGCACCACTCTTGGCTTACCTCGCCGACCACATTTCACCCAGAAAGTCACGTCTGAGAAACGATCCACTATGTCATATGGGCCTTCCCATGGAGAAGACAACTTAGGAGACTTCCCTTTGGTCTTCCTGGGATTATACAACCATACTTTGTCTCCTGGTACAAAGCTGACTTCAGTAGATCTCTTATCATAAGTTAACTTCATTGAATCAGCAGACGTTTTCAAGTTTGAACGCACTTAATGGTGGATATCATCCATCCTTTCCGATAACACTTTCACAAACTCTGACACATTTTCAGGCAACTCTTCATAAGGTGGGCATCCCTTACGCTTGGGTCCCCTTTTAGCACTACATGTACTGCATGTCCTGCACCATTCTTCCACATCTCGCCTCATACCTATCCAGTAAAATCTTTGTCGTAGATGACTCAATGTCTTCTTAATTCCGAGATGTCCTCCTGTTAAATTAACATGGGAATGGCGCAGCACAACTTCCCGTAACTTCCTCGGTATAACTGTTTGTCAAGTCGTCACTTTCCCATATGTAGTTTCCCATCTCCGGACAAGAATACCATCTTCAAGCTTTAACTGATCCCATTGCACCCAATAGTGCTTTGTCACAGGGCTTAGACTAGAC